GCACAATAAATCCTGTGCCCAATAGAAGAGGGAGGAAGGGAGAGATAGGGGTTAAAAATACAGAAATGCATGTTTGTTTCACAGGCTGCTTGTGTAGTCCTGGCTTTATGATTCCTTTGTTTTAACCTTCTTTCCTTCCTTCCTTCCTTCCTTCCTTCCTTCCTTCCTTCCCTCCCTCCTTCCTTCTTTCCTTCTTTCCTTTCTCTACTTCTTTGGTCTTTGTGAGTCAGTGTCTCCCAGTAGCCCCAGCTGGTCTGGAACTCACTATGTAAACCAGGCTGGCCTTGAACTCACAGAGATCCACCTGCCTCTGCCTCGCGAGGAGGATCATAATGGATATTTTGATCATTTCATGCATTTGTGGACATCCAGCATTATGACATGCTAAACACAACTGAGAGCAAAAACATAAATGGTTAATGAAGCGAAACAAACCCCCAAAGAAGGGAAAAGAATAAAAAAATGCGAATGTAGACATGCATAAGCAATAAAAAGTTTACTTCCTTGTAAGTGGTGTGATAAATAACAGTACCAGGTTAAAGCCAGTGTTGAGTCGCTACATTACCGGAAATGAAATAGCATAGTGGAACATAGTTGATACCCAAAATATAGGCCAAAATGAGTACACATTCTAAAGGAGATGCTTAGAAATAGGCATAGCTTTGCGAAATACACACAACTTCACTGTGTTGAACTATACATGCAGCGTTCTCTTCCTTCCTGTCTGAACAGGGTTAATGACATTGCTGCATTACAGTAAAGTGCACGGTTCTTGATCATTAGTTCTACCGGAGAAGAGCTACTACATTTCCAACTGGAAAACAATATAGAAATAAAAAATAATGTATGGTGATAAAAAAGTAAGATCAGAGATGAAACAATAAGAAATCAAGAAATGTCTACAAAGAGGAGATTATAGATGCTTGCTGATCACACGAGAACTAGAAATTCTTTTATTATAACTGTAAGTCTAAACTGTATGATTACTCATGGTGACAGGTCAGATGCCGGGCCTTTTCTTATTATCTCCAAAAGAAAGGCTCCTTCCTAACAGGACACTTGAAGCATATGGGTATATAGTAAGAGGCACCTCATCAATTGAGAGAGAGATAGAGAGGTAGAGAGAAGGAGAGAGAGACAGAGACAGAGACTTAGAGACACAGAGATTAAGCTGTTATATTATCTCTAAAAATGTGAGTTGAGATTTTCTCTTGGCTTCCAGCTTAAAAGGGAAATCTTAACGTGCTAGCCATACATGGAAAACTGTGTTTTTTCTTCTTCCTCCACATTCTTCTGGATTTACACTGACATATTAAAACAGCTTAACACACCTCACCCCATTAACTCCTGCATCTCCCCAATTAGAGCCTTCTGTCCAGTCTTTAGGTCTACTGAGACCCAGGTTCTACTCTGTGAAGCAGCCTCAAATGAAGAATAAGGTCCTTCATTGCTCTCTAAGTCTACTAACTTGAAATAAGTCCTCCAAAAGCCATCAAATCAGAGCTAAACAGTGATGCAAAAATTCCTTGCAATGAAAGACTAGCACTCTCAAAGTCTATCTAGCAGTAAGATGTACATGAACAGATGACCTCTGCAACATTGCATGACACGGGTGCACTCACATACACGCAGGCAATACACTCATACTCATAAAATAAAAATAAT